CAGCCTTGGCCTTCCCTAGCAGCCGGGGGCGGGGGGAACTGGGGCTGGTGCAGCCTCGGCTGGGGGGAGGGGGAAAGCCAGGGCTGCCATGCCATGGTCGTGGCCCGGCCCTCCTTGGCGGCTGAGGGGGAGAGCTAAGGCTGCCTACCCCCCCAAGAGAAGGGTGTTGGAGGGCATAGCAAGCAGGGGGCACAGCCCCCTGGCATCTTTTACTGAACCAATTGCTGCTCCTGGTGAGAGAGAAGCAGCTTTTCAGCTTAGACAGAGTTTTTCTTCAGGTCTGGGAAACTAACTCTGAAGAAGAGCTCTATAAGAACGGCCATACTAGATCAGACCAAAGGTCTATCTGGCCCAGTGTTCTGATAGGGTATGGCTACACTAGCTCCCTAGTTCAAACTAGGGAGGCTAATGTAGGCATTCGAAGTTGCAAATCAAGCCCGGGATTTAAATATCCTGTGCTTGATTTGCATCTTCCTGGCCGGTCGCCATTTTTTGAAATTTACAAGTCAGGACTAACTGCCCGCGACTACACGCAGCAGGGACCCGGTAGTTCGAAATAAAGCCCTAGTTCGAACTACCTGTTAAACCTCATTCCTGTAGGAATAACAGGTAGTTCGAACTAGGGGCTTTATTTCAAACTACCGGATCCCTGCCACGTGTAGACGCGGGCAGTTAGTCCGGATTTATAAATTTCAAAAATGGTGACCGGCTGGGGAGATGCAAATCAAGCGCAGGATATTTAAATCCTGGGCTTGATTTGCAACTTGGAATGCCTACATTGGCCTCCCTAGTTCGAACTGGGGGGCTAGTGTAGACATACCCATAGTGACCAATGCCAGGTGCCCCAGAGCGAATGAATAGAACAGGGAATCATCAAGTGACCCCTCCGCTGTCACCCATTCCCAGCTTCTGACAAATGGAGGCTAACGACACCATTCTTGACCATCCTGATTAATAAGCAGGGCTCGACGATTAGGGCAATCGACTCGCCCGTGGCGAGTAGATTTTAGTCCGGCATGCGCCGCAGCACAATCAGCGCATGTGCAGCATGCAGCGTACCAAACCGCACAGCTGGTGAGCGGGGCTCGCCAACGCTTGACAAGCCCTGCTAATAAGCATTGATGGACCTCTCCTCCATTAATTTATCCAGTTCTTTTTTGACCCATGTTAAAGTTCTGGTCTTTACAACATCCTCTGGCAAGAAGTTCCACAAGTTGACTGTGTGTTGCATGAAGAAATACTTCCTCTTGTTTGTTTTAAACCTGATGCCTATTCATTTCACTTGGGGACACCCTAGTTCTTATGAGAACACGTAAATAATATTTGCTTGTTCACTTTCTCCACCACTCATGATTTTATAGACCTCTATAATACGCCCCATTAGTCTCCTCTTTTCTAAACTGAAAAGTCCCAGTCTTTTTAATTTCTCTTCATATGGCAACTGTTCCAAAGTACAAATCATTTTTGTTGCTGTTTTCTTAACTTTTTCCAGTGCTAAGATACCTTTTTTGAAATGAGGCGACCACATCTGTATGCACATTCAGTATGTGAACGTACCATTGATTTATACAGAGTCATTAAGATATTCTGTCATATTTTCTATCCCTTTTTATGATTCCTAACATTCTGTTTGCTTTTTTTACTGCTGCTGCACATTGATTGGATGTTTTCTGAGAACTATCCACCATCACTCCAAGATCTCTCGAGTGGCAATAGCCAATTTAGTCCCCAGCATTTTGTACATAGAGTTGGGATTATGTTTTCCAATATGCATTATTTTGCATTTATCAGCATTAAAATTCATTTGTCATTTTGTTGCCCAGTCACCTAGTTTTGAAAAATTCTTCTGAAGCTCTTCACAGTCTGGTTTGGTCCTACCTGTCTTGAGCAGTTAAGTATCCTTTGCAAATGTTGCCACTTGACTGTTTACCCCTTTCTCCAGATCTTTTATTAATCTATTGAATAGGATTGATCCCAATATGGATTCCTGCAGGACCTCACTAGTTACCGCTCACCATTTAGTCCTACCCTTTGTTTCCTATCTTTTAACCAGTTATCAATCCATGCGAGGATCTTTCCTCTTATCCCATGACAACTTACTTTACATAAGAGCCTTTGGTGAAGGACCTTGTCAAAGGCTTTCTGGAAATCTACATACACTATATTTACTGGATGCCCTTTGTCCACTTGCTTACTGACAGCCTCAAAGAACTCTAGGGTTCTGTCTACACCGGCAGGTTCTTGCACCAGAAATATGCAAATGAGGCTAAGCATGGAATATCACTGAGCCTCATTTACATACCTAATGAGTCGCCATTTTTTGCAGAAGAGGCTCGTGCTCCAGAAGGAGCATCTACACTGCCCCTTCTTGCACAAGAGGGTTTTTCTAGCACAAGAAGGGACAGTGTAGATGCTCCTTCTGGAGCACGAGCCTCTTCTGCAAAAAATGGCGACTCATTAGGTATGTAAATGAGGCTCAGTGATATTCCATGCTTAGCCTCATTTGCATATTTCTGGAGCAAGAACCCGTCAGTGTAGACAGAGCCTAGTAGATTAGTACAGCATGATTTTCCCTTACAGAAACCATGTTGACTTTTCAGCAGCAAATTATGTTCATCTATGTGTCTGATAATTCTGTTCTTTACTATAGTTTCAACTATTTTGCCTGATACTGACATTAGATTTACCAGTCTGTAATTGCAGGATCACCTGTAGAGCTCTTTTTAAAGATTAGCATCACACTAGCTATCTTCCAGTCATTTGGTACAGTTAGCAGTTCTTGCTTCCCAAGGGGGCAGGACTCAAACCCACCACCCTGCATTCCCAAGAAGAATACCCTATCTCCTAAGCCATGCCAGAATCGAACCCAACCCAACCCAACCCCACCTCCCTATCTCCGGCAGGACCCTTATCCCACCTTCCTCCAGTTGTTTCCCAGGTGGACCTTGAACCCACTACCCTGAACTCCCCAGGCAAAAGCCCAAGTGCTTAAGCCATGCCAGAACTCAACCCACTACCTTCTCTGCACCGGCTCCATTATCCCACCTTTCTAACGCGGGCACTAGCTCCATCTATGGGGTGGCCTATGTTGGCTGTGTGCTCGCTTCTCAGGCGGTTGGGCTCTTTCATAACTCTTTGGTGAATGCCATTTAGTGTTGGTGATTTGTTACTGTTTAGTTTATCAATTTGTTCCAAAACTTCCTGTGCTGACATGTCAATCTGGGACAATTCCTCAGATTTGTCATCTAAAAAGAATGGCTCAAGTTTGGGAATCTCCTCTTCCATGAAGACTGATGCAAAGAATTCATTTAGTTTCTTCACAATGACCTTATCAGCCTTGAATGTTCCTTCAGCATCTCAATTGTCCCATGACCCCATTGGTTGTTTAGCAGAGTTCCTGCTTCTGACATACTTAAAGCTATTACTTTTTGAGTTTTGGGCTAGCTGTTCTTCACTTTCCTTTTTTGCCTAATTATTCGTGTAAACTCAAACGCCTATCTCTCCCACCAATAGAGCTGGGCCCAGTTATAGATATTGCCTCACCCAGCTTGTCGCTAATATCCTGAGACCAACATGGTTACAACACCACTGCATACCCTAAACACAGGAACTGGGGATCCTGGAGCTGCTGCTGCACCTTCCTGGCTTGAAGTAGTAATAACCCAAATCCATGGTTTCCACCATCAGCAACCCTTTTAAAAATTATTCCACCCCTACTGAGAAACTGGACTCAGGGCCACTGAAGGGATCAGGAGGGAAGGTGGCAGCTGCCTCGAGGTCCGGTGATTCAAAAGGTCATGGGCTCCCAGCAATCATTGCTGCAGCCAGCACACCCCTGCTGGCACTGAAGGGCTGGCAGAGGAAGCTTAGCCCCCAGCCCTGCCCCTTTTGCCCATAGCCCCGCCCCTTCAATAAGTGCAAGCCAGGCCCCTCCACATCTTGTCCGAGGGCCCTGGCAATTCTGTTGGCCCAGTGGCTGACCCAATTATAATCCTCTAGGAACTCCTCTATTTTACTACCATGACGAAGTTAACATGCTGAGTGGATATTATACTGGTGAGTAGATATCAAATTCTCATCTTATGCAGGATTTTAATTTGGAGACTCCCTCTTCTGTTGAAACACAGAGGCTGTGTCTACACTGGGCCACTTATTCCGGAAAATCAGTCACTTTTCCGGAATAAGCTGCGAGCTGTCTACACTGGCCCTTGAATTTCTGGAAAAGCAACGATGCTCTACTGTACAAAATCAGCCGCTATTCTGGAAAAACTATTCTGCTCCCGCTCGGGCATAGTCCTTATTCCGGACCACTGTTCCGGAAAAGGGCCAGCGTATACAGCCCAGTAGTCTTTTCCGGAAAAAAGCCCCGATTGCGAAAATGGCGATCGGGGCTCTTTTCCGGAAAAGCGCGTCTACATTGGCCACAGATGCTTTTCCGGAAAAAGGGCTTTTCCGGAAAAGCAGCCTGCCAATATAGATGCTCCTTTTCTGGAAAAACTGAAAACGGAATAGTATTCCGTTTTAAGCATTTCCGGAAATTCATGCCAGTGTAGACACAGCCAGACTGTGTTAAGTTAGACCTAAAGGTGAGATAGTCTTATAGCACTGTTCTGGGTCCAACCTGTTATGCAAGAGATTTTGTGGATACATCAAGCCAAATTTCAGAAGAGTCAAGTGATTTCTTGAGACAATTTCTTGCGACAGTGGGCCACCGATATGGTAGTCTCTTCCCTGTCCCTCTCATCAATCACTGCCGCTGGGTTCTAAGTTAGAGAGGCTGATGGGGATGAGAGGAGGGTGGAGAAGTTTGGGCCAGGAGGAAGGGATGGGTTTGCATGAAAGACAGTTCTTGGTGCAGACGAGGGAGAAAAAAAGCTGGGAAATTAAGTGGGGGAAAGCCACTGCTTATAAGTGACAAATTCCAGGTTTCTGGGATGTCTTGTTATAGAAAAGAATTGAAAAGGCTTGTCTAGTAAACAGCATGCCCCATCACTCACACTACTGCCCTCCTGGCTGCCAAAAAAGTTATCCAGCAAGGAGCATGCATACTAATAGACAAAGTCTTCATCATTGTATAACAGTGCTTGATCCCAGAACTGCTATTTCTTGTCCTTTCTTCACTCCTGTAAGATTTGAAAGGGAGACGGTGAATATGTCCAATGAATTGTTTTTATGCTGTTAATTGAAACTATGGAAAAGGTTATCTGTTCACACACTCCTGTCTTTGGGACAAAGCCATGCACAGAATAAAGGCAGGCAGTGTTTATTCGGCAGGATCTCTGAGAAAAGAAGGAAATTGGACTGCAAAAAACCCCTAAAAACAGACAAAGGGTATGTCTACACTACCCCCCTAGTTCAAACGAGGGGGGGTAATGTAGTCATACGGAGTTGCAAATGAAGCCCGGGATTTGAATTTCCTGGGCTTCATTTGCATAAAGCCGGCCGGCGCCATTTTTAAATGCCAGCTAGTTCGGACCCCGTGCCACGCGGCTACACGCAGCACGGACTAGCTAGTTCGGATTAGGCTTCCTAATCCAAACTAGCTGTACGCCTCGAGGAAGCCTAATCCGAACTAGCTAGTCCATGCCACGTGTAGCCGCGCGTCACGGGGTCCGAACTAGCCGGCATTTAAAAATGGCGCCAGCCGGCTTTATGCAAATGACGCCTGGGAAATTCAAATCCGTGGGCTTCATTTGCAACTCCGTATGACTACATTACCCCCTCTAGTTCGAACTAGGGGGGTAGTGTAGACATACCCAAAGATCCAGAGGGCCAGCAAAACTAGACAAACATCAGAGGGGTAGTCGTGTTAGTCTGTAAACTTTAAAAATAATGAAGGGGTCCATAGCACCTTAGAAACTAAATTGTTAGTCTCTTAGGGCATATCTACACAGCAGAGCTAAAGCCAAAATAAGCTACGCAACCTGAGCTATGTTAATTGCGTAGCTTAAGTCGGAATAGCTTATTTCGGCTTTTGGCACTGTCTACACAGCAGGAAGTCCGAGAAAGAGCACTCTTCCTCCGACTTCCCTTACTCCTTGTACAATGAAGGTTACAGGAGTTGGAGTAAGAAGTCCTCCAGCCCGACATTATTTTGACAATATGTCGAAGTAGCTGCTTGTAGTGTACATGCGGACTGTGTTATTTCACAATAATGTCCGTTATTCCAAAATAACACTGCTGTGTAGATGTACCCTTTGGTGCCACAGGACTACTCGTTATTATTAAAAAAAAAAATCTGCAACTTACAGCAGTCCAGGGCAACAGCACAGCAGTAGAGCCCAGAATCCTCATTTTATGCGTATCCCTATAGCTAGGTGATCAGATTTTCCAAAGAGATACATGCAGAAATATCCATGTGTACTTTTGGACAGGTTGTGTCAAAAGGACTTGTTAAGTGTCTATCAGTTTTGGTTCAGAGTTCTTGGGTCTTGGAAAGTTATGAGAAAGTTGAGAACTAGTCTTAGGCTACGTCTACACTACAAAGAAAAGTCAGAAAAAGATACACAAATTGCAAACCGCAGTTTGTGTTTCTTTTCTGCTTTTCTTCTGAAAGAGGCTTTTCCAGCATTTGACCCATCTACATGGGCCAATTATCAGGAAAAAAACTCTTTTGGAACATCCCTTCTTCCTCGTAGAACGAGGTTTACAGGAATGCAGAAAAATGCATCTGCTTTTCCGATTTTTTTTTCAGAAAAGCAGACGCGTTTCTTGGAGAGGGCAGAGCTTTTCCAGGATACCTCAGAACAATTTTTCTCCCTCATCCTCATAGAACCTTTTAGGTACTTCAAAACTGCTATCATGTTCCCTCTGTCTTCTCTTTTCCAGAAGAAACAAACCCGGTTCTTTCAATCTTTCCTCATAGGTCATGATTTCTACACCTTTAATCACTGGTGTTGCTCTTCTCTGGAATTTTGCAATTTCTCCACATCTTTCTTGAAATATGGTGCCCAGAACTGGACACAATACTCCAATTGAGGCCTAATCAGCACAGAGTAGAGTGGAAGAATGAATTCTCATGTCTCGCTCACAACACTCCTGTTAATGCATCCCAGAATCACGTTTACTTTCTTTGCAACAGTGTCACACCATTGACTCATATTTAGCTTGTGGTCCACTATTACCGCTATATCCTTTTCTGCAGTACTAATCCTTAGAAGGTTGTTTCCCATTCTGTATGTGTGAAACTGAATGTTCCTTCTTAAGTGGAGTACAGGCAGTCCCCGGGTTACGTACAAGATAGGGACTGTAGGTTTGTTCTTAAGTTGAATTTGTATGTAAGTCGGAACTGGTACATATTGTAGGGGAAACTCTAGCCAAACATTTCTCCAGAGCTCAGTTTTATTCTCCCACAGCTCACTTCCCTCAGGCACGTCGAAATTGCTAATGAAGGAGGGATTTAAATATCTCACATTTCATTAGCATAAACATGGCCGTTGCTTTTTTCAACATGGAACTTTTTCAAAAAAAAAAAAAAAAACCCTGGCTGTCTAGATGTGGATCTGTTGAAAAATAAACCCTTTTTTGACAGATCCTGTATGCCTCAAAAAATGAGGTTTACAGGATCTGTCGAAAAAGGGTTTATTTTTCAACAGATCCGTGTCTAGACTGCTGGGATTTTTTTTTAAAAAGCTCCGTGTCGAAAAAAAGCAGTGGCCATGTTTATGCCAATGAAGCGTGGGATATTTAAATCCCTGCTTCATTAGCAATTTCGACGTGCCAAATCTACATCTCTCTGTAGACAGAGAGGTGTGGTCTAGACACAGCCTCTCTGTGCCAGTATCTAAATCATTGATGAAGACAAACTTGACTATTTCAGCGGAATGTTTTCATTTCATCAAAATTTGCCAGCAGCGATCAAAAAAAGCAACATTTCTAGAAGGTCTGAATAAAAGATTTCAGATTACTCATTTGATTAAACATTTGAGGTTTCGTTTTTTTCATCACTATGAGAGACAAAAATCAAATTTCAAAATTTCCCATGCAATGGAAATTTCATTTTTGACCCGCTCAAATCGCTTGGCCAGTGTAGTAGGTGTGTTTATTCTTTTAATCAGAACTAGGGAAAGCATGCACAGGTAGTATAGCTTAGGCTGTCTCAACAATGCCTATAAGTAATAAGCTCTTCTACCAAACACATAGTTTTCAAGAAATTTCTTTTCGTGTGCATATTGATTTGCCTCCCCCTAGTTAGCTTTCCAGTTCACAAGCAACTAGCCAGAGCATCAAGTGGTAAGAGTTTGAATTTACCAATCCAAGAAGCACAGCCCATACTTTTGCTGGAGGAAAAACAAAAAACCCTCATCTTGAAGTTTTCATGTTTTCATACAGGGGGAATCAAAGAGGCACATTTCTTCTTGCCTGATATGCTGAAAAATTTCTCACAAGCCTCAGCCTCCTGAGGTCTTTCAAGATCAGATGGTTCAACTTGTAAGAAAACACTCAGCTTGGAAGACAAAGAATCTCAGTTTGCAAAGCTGATTTTGCTATTATTCTTGCAGCCGAAAACGACATGCTCATTCTCTCTAGGTGGTAAATTATTCATCCTGAAATGTTCCCAATTTAGGCCATGGCACATACTGTCTAAAGCTGCCAAGTTAGTGCATTACTCTCTTACAGCTACCGTAGGGTTTGTGGTAAACTGCATCACACTTGTTTTTAATATTTTTGTTAAGTACTAAACTATATTTTTTGTTAAGTACTAAACTACACACAATATTTTTGTTAAGTACTAAACTAACCCACTCTCTCACATCAATCACCAATTCTCATTCCACGACAGACCACCATTTTGAAAGCTGGGAGCTGTGGAATGCATTCTTTCAAGTACAAGTGAATTTGCATAATTTGGCTGAAACATCTTCCCTTGATGAATTGCATTCTTTTATTTCTCTTGTCACTATCTAAGTATTAGAGACAGAACCAAACCCAATCTGATAACACAGGAATTTTGGAAAACATTAGATAGGTTTCCATACCTTTTAGCAAAATGCAGATACTATTTCCCGTATTTCATTACTGCTGGGGAGAGGATCCAAGACCAACGGTAAGTGAAGCCCGAAATTCTGCAGACATTATATGACCTGTAAAAACTGTGCCATAATAATGTCAATATGATCGCTCATGTGCTTTCCGTGAAGCATGTGTGTAAATGTTTGCAGGAACTGAGCCATAAATAGTCCCTACTAAAAGGAATGTACTCTGTCTTTGGTCTCTTATCTTTGATTCATGTCTATGGTGCTATATACAAACATGGAATAATCATTCAAATTCACATATATATTCAAATTCAGAGTTAGAAAGAGCCATCAAAGCTACCAGAATGACTTATGTTTGTGACGGTGGTCTGGAAAATGTCTCCAAAATATCCTTACAGGGCATTCTAGTGCTCCCACTGTGGTCTAGAATAACAGCAGCGTTTATAGATGAGGAGTACGGAGGACTAAGAGAATAAAATGAGGGAGGGAGGTTTGAATCACAAAGGTGGCACCGCACAGCTTCAGCCTGAGCTTTTGAGCAAAGGTTCCAGCGGATACATTTAATCTGAACTCGCTTGCCAATTTGCATTACCTAGGTTGATTATGACAGTGGACAGCCAAGTTTTAACGAGCTCCTTTTAAAGTTCCACAGGGAGTGTGGGCCAGTGGGGGAATCCCCGCTAGGCCCATGCTCTGTACAGGGCTTCTGCTTTAGAAATGTACAATATTTCAGAAGCAGAATTGCAGCAAAAGGGTGCAAGCAGACACCTCTTCAGTCCCCACTCGTGATGTTTCCTGCTGTGCCTCTACCTCCTCTGACCCCCGTGAAAACAGTGCAGGGGGAACCGGCTTTTAAGCCAGCTCCCCCCAACACTGGTTCCTGCTCCCCCCTTGCTGCCTCTCTCTGACAGAGGCAGCAGAGGGCGGGGGGAGTGACTAATCTCATCCCTAGTTGACTATCCAATAATGTTCTAGTTATCGGATAGCTGACTAGTCGCTTGCATCCCTACTTCCCATGCTGATATCACCTAAGGATGAGAGTCTGTCTAGACTTCTCCCTACCCAATTCATATGTAACTATGTGTAAGTTCTATAGTTTGCATAGGCAACTGACTGCACTAATATTTAGAGTGCAAGCATATGGCTCTTTTCAAACTTTAGCCCTGGTCACATAAAGAAGCTAGAGTTTTCGGCTATCTGCAGTTCAGAATTTATTAGCAGTACTTTAGTATTATGTAGTTAGCAAATTCTTTAAATGCTCCTTTGAAAAGAAAGAAATATTTGATTATTCATTTTAGAATGCACAGACATAAAAAAATTAGTTGCACAATGTTATAACCAAGAGACTTACATGCTTAAAAGGTGAACTTAAAGACCTTTTGCATAAGGAACTATCACTAGGTGTGCTATGACACAGCTGCTATACACATCTTGTCCTACCATCTACAATTAGTAGACAGCCTTGTCAGCATTTGGTTGTTTAAAATCATATTTGTCAAGATGCATTGATAGTGCAACCAGTGTAGCTGGGTGAATTATTGCAACTGTTCAGTGATTTATTCATTAAAGATCACAAAATTCATCAGATTATTCCACATATATTATCTGACTAGCACTAGTTGTTAGCATTTGAAAGAGGAACTGGAGTTATCAGGAATTAAGACAGTGTCACCAAAAAAAGGTTGATGCCTGCAAACATCGTTGACAAATATTTTAAGCAGAGCATTACTTCATAACCACCTGCCTCCATATATTCTCCACTGCCCGGTGACCCACCAGTACAAGACTTAAATCATAGAGTTATGCTATACTGCATCAAGATAAATATATTTATTTTTCCTTTAAGTCAGTCAATGAACAGTTGCCTAGCAACATTTCCTAGCAACCCCACTGCAGAGAACCACACAGAAAGAGCATTTCGCTACAAGTCAATTAAATATGGTAATTTGCATGAGAAGATACCAATGTCCCTTCCAATTAAAAACAATTCCTCTCTCCTTTCTATATTTTAACAGCTTCCTAAATATATAGCTGACCCCATTTTGGTTTTACCTTGGTTCATATTCCCTTCCACCTCCTCAAGTTACAAAACTTTACGTCAGTGGCAAGTCAAGGTTGACAGTATTAAAAGCAACACCTTAAAATACAATACAACCCATTCATTTTGGTTTCCAGCTCAGTGACTGATTTCTTCTGTCATACAAAAGAAACACACAAGAAGCACAGCTGGCTCCTCCGTACTCTCATGATTTGGGAACATTTTCAAAGGAAGACCCTTGGTGCAATTTCTAATCCTAGTATGAATAGATGCATTCTGCTTACCTAACTTCCCCATGGGCAGTTTCAGCAAGACACAATTTTCTTCACTTCATGTTCGGATCTGTAATATAGTTGGAGAGAGTACTTCTGCTCTACTAAGCTTTAGCAGTGCTACACTCCATAGGTGCTGTATTCAATAGGAATGGGTAAAGTGACTTTGGCAAAGAGCTTATTTGCATAGCACTTTAACAGCTCTCTGACATCATATTCTAAAATGGAACATAAAAACTGCAGGGTTCATTTCTGGGGTTATTTTATTCTTCCAATACTAGAAGCTGGCGGTTTCAGAAAGGACAGGACAACATCTCTGGAGAGGGTCCAGCGGAGGGCAACCAAAATGATTAGGGGGCTGGAGCATATGACTTACGAGGAGAGGCTGAGGGAGTTGGGTCTGTTTAGTCTGCAGAAGTGGAGTGAGGGGGGATTTGATAGCAGCCTTCAACTTCCTGAAGGGAGGTTCCAAAGAGGATGGAGAGAGGTTGTTCTCAGTAGTGACAGATGGCAGAACAAGGAGCAATGGTCTCAAGTTGTGGTGGGAGAGGTCCAGGTTGGATATTAGGAAAAACTATTTCACTAGGAGGGTGGTGAAGCACTGGAATGGGTTACCTAGGGAAGTAGTGGAGTCTCCATCCCTAGAGGTGTTTAAGTCTCGGCTTGACAAAGCCCTCGCCGGGTTGATTTAATTGGAATTGGTCCTGCCTAGAGCAGGGGGCTGGACTTGATGACCTTCTGAGGTCTCTTCCAGTTCTATGATTCTATGATCTCAAAATAAAATTAAATGGAGAAAATAAGGATGTAAGGGAAAAAAAGGTGGCTACTTTTATTCCTAGTCAGTCAGCTCTCCCACAAAATATTACTTTCTGATATTTACAAAACAGGATCAGCAGAAATCTATTTTTGATACCAAAATTAACACAATTTTCAAGTTCTTTACATCTTTCAAGAAAGAGGTAGAGAAGCTGGAGTAGGTCCAGAGAAGAGCAGCAACAATGATGAAAGGTCTAGAGAACATGAACTATGAGGGAAGGCTGAAAGAAATGGGCTTGTTTAGTTTGGAAAAGAGAAGAGGACATGATAGTAGCTTTCAAGTACCTAAAAGGGTATTGCAAGGAGGAGGGAGAAAAATTGTTCTCCTTGGCCTCTGAGGATAGGACAAGAAATAATGGGCTTAAATTGCATCAAGGGAGGTTTAGGTTAAACATTAGGACTTCCTAACTGCTAGGGTGGTTAAACACTAGAAATAATTGCCTAGGGAGGTTGTGGAATTTCTGTCATTGGAGATATTTAAAAGCAGGTTAGAAAGGCATCTATTAGGATTGCTCTAGAAGGTGCTTGGCCCTGCCGTGAGAGCAGACGACTGGTCTTGGTGATCCCTTGAGGTCCCTTCCAGTTCTAGTATTCTATGATTCTCCCAGTGGCAACCTTCACGCCCTTTTTCATAGTACAAAGTGGCTTTGCACTGGCTCCTCGACTCAGTGTTTTACATATTACTACAGCTGCTCCCCGAGTTACGGCCACCTCCACTTACGACCATCCGCACTTACGACCAACGTGGTCATAAATGCGGATCCGAGTCATGAACAGCGCAGTCGCCATGCAACTCTGTGGGATCCGAGATACAAACACTTCAAGTTACAGACCAAGTGTTGGTCTGTGTGGCGGGGTCCCCTCCACCCCGTCCTCTCCTCCCTGAGATTAAAGCAGGCCCACCCAACTCGCAGACCCTGAGGCCTGGTCTGGTAGCCACAACAGGCCCTGAGACCTAGTCCAGCATCCGCAACAGGCCCTGAGGCCTAGTCCAGCATCTGCAACAGGCCCTGAGGCCTAGTCCAGCATCTGCAACAGGCCCTGAGGCCTAGTCCAGCATCTGCAACAGGCCCTGAGGCCTAGTCCAGCATCTGCAACAGGCCCTGAGGCCTAGTCCAGCATCTGCAACAGGCCCTGAGGCCTAGTCCAGCATCTGCAACAGGCCCTGAGGCCTAGTCCAGCATCTGCAACAGGCCCTGAGGCCTAGTCCAGCATCTGCAACAGGCCCTGAGGCCTAGTCCAGCATCTGCAACAGGCCCTGAGGCCTAGTCCAGCATCTGCAACAGGCCCTGAGGCCTAGTCCAGCATCTGCAACAGGCCCTGAGGCCTAGTCCAGCATCTGCAACAGGCCCTGAGGCCTAGTCCAGCATCTGCAACAGGCCCTGAGGCAGTGTCTTTACTCCCCCTCCTTAGGAGCTATGCGCGAAAAAAATCTGAGTTTCCATAGGCTTTCCCTGGTCTATGTGCCACTCGAAACGAATACGGCTGCAATGCTAGGTACCAGCGCATGATACGCGCATTGGTGTCTTTCATTGTTTGCAACCACCTTAGAGGGGCGTGATCCGTCACTACCAAAAAGGTACTCCCCAGCAAATAATACCTCAATGCGTCCACGGCCCATTTCACTGCCAGCGCCTCCCTCTCTATGGTGGAGTACCGGGTTTCCCTAGGGTACAACGTGATCCGTCACTACCAAAAAGTTACTCCCCAGCAAATAATACCTCAATGCGTCCACGGCCCATTTCACGGCCAGCGCCTCCCTCTCTATGGTGGAGTACCAGGTTTCCCTAGGGTAAGGTGGTCCTCAAGGTTTGAAATGCCCTCTCGCACGCTGCTGACCACTCTACCCGCCGCGGGTGTTGGTTTTTGGTCAGGTCCGTCAGGGGGGCAGCTATGGTGGAAAATTTAGGGACAAAGCGCCGGTAATATCCCACCAACCCCAGGAACTGTCTCACCTGT